CGGTCAGTGTGACAGGTGCCTGGAAAGATTTCATCTGTCTCCGTTCCTGCTGCGAAAAACACCCCGGAAGATCTCTCGGCTGCGTTCCTCGTAGGGATTTGAAAGAGATTTAAGGTGGTTTTGTCGTGGTCATAACTGGTGCCGACTGAACAGGAGAAAAGGTGCGGCAGAGAGCATCATCACCGCACTTCCCTCGCTGTGGCACGCGGAACGCATTGCCTTGTTAATAGGGATTGTTAATTGGCTTCAGCGTGCTCATCGGTCTGTAGGAAGATGCTGGCGCTCAGCTCTGGATGGTGACTGCTTTGGAGTGGATGCTATGAAAAGTCTCCCGTTTCTTTTTCCTAGGCTAACTGGCCTGTACCCCAGCAGTAAGTGCTGTGATCAGTGTGCAGAGCCTGAAGATCTTCCCATTGCAGGAGGCAATTTTGTAGACCAATGTGTAGAAGTCAATACTGGGTAATGTGGCCAGACATCTGATTTCAGTAGCATGGAGATTTTAAGGTACTATGCTTGAATGACAGTGGCATACCTCAGACTTAGGAATTCAGGAGTACTGGTTATTGACAAGCTTATGTTCACCAGTAGAATCTGGCACCAAAATCAGGTAACTACTCTGTTAGCATGCAGAGCACTGCCAAAATCTTGTTCTCTCATCAGTTTTTTGCTTAAAATCCCTATCATAAAAGAAGGAATAAAAAAGTAAAAGAATCATAGGGTCATAGAACCAGCCAGGTTGGAAAAGACCTCAAAGATCAAGTCCAACCTTACTGTGGTTACTAGACCATGGCACTAAGTGCCACATCCAGTCTCGTCTTGAAAACCTCCAGGGATGGTGAATCCACCACCTCCCTGGGCAGCCCATTCCAGTGCCTGACTACTGTCCATAAAAAATCTCTTCCTAATATCCATATCCGAAACATCCCTTGGCAGAGTAAATATTATTACAAGCAATTAAATTCCTTTTGCATTAATTTTCTTTTTCTAGACTCTTACAATGATGAGGACACTCCAAGAACATGTGACAATAGCTGTGGTTGGATATTCTGTTTAGAATGGTCATCAAAATGAAATTTGATTACATGCACGCAATTTTTAGCTATATAAATTATTTTCAGTCATTTTAAGTCTTTTGTAACAATTATTAGTCTTAAAATTGGATTGACAGGGATTAATAGACTATGTGGGCAAGTATAATGGCATAAATTTTTTGTGAAGAGGATTTAGTAATGTCTCTCACAGAACTTTATTATTGTGCTTTATTTAAATTCTGGATCAATGTAAAATATATGTGTAAGTTGCATACTTTAGTCAGTAGAAAACCAGAAATAACAAAGAACCTTTTTGCTTAGCTTCAAAATTAGTGATGAGTATAATTACCATGATGAGAGCTCATATTGGCAAGTTTTGATGTGACTGTGAGTGTGGCATATATACCTGTTGCATTTGACAAGACTGGTATTTCTCTGGTTAGCAAGGAAGCCTTTGGAGCTCAGCCTGAAATTTAAAGGCTTTGTGGATCGTGTTTTGTGTGAAGAAGGAAAAATGCAAACCTACCTTAGTGCAATCAAAATGAAAGGGAAAAGAAAAGGGTTTTTTATAAAACATTTCTAGGAGTACAAGACACTCTCTTCTGTGTGTTTTCTTCATAGTCTTTTGGCAAATGTTATTTCAAAGGAGCTCTGCAAAATACAGTTTCATGCTTGTCTTTGTACATTAATTTGCACAACCCATCCTAGACTGAATATACTTTTGATTAGTTTGATTCCTTGCCCTGACTTTCTTATAATTCAAGTGCTATAGCCTTGTTTTATCTGTTATTTTGAAATTCTTTTGAACTGAAAAAAAAATTTTTTTTACTGTATACTCAATTGAAGTTGTTTGTTCTTTTCCTAATCAGCTTCAGTTTTGTGGTTAATTTCACTTTTTATCCTTGTCCTGGTTTTCAAGGATTTAGATTAAAATCTCATACATGAAGCTACAGTTTAAGTTCAACTACTGTGGGTTTCAGATATAGTAAAAATTATGCTTTGTAGTATCATTAATTTTTCTGTTATTTCAGAAAAATTATTTTTGAGAAGCAGTGGTTCTATCTGGATAATGCCATTGGACATGTTTATGGGACTACATTTGAAGTCACCAGTGGTGGAAACCTCCAGCCAAAGCAAGAGATGGAAGAGACTACCACAGGTACCAGAGGATTGACTGGTGTTTGAAAAAGCTAGTTCCAATCAATTTGTTTCTTTGATAATACTAAATATAACAGAAAAGCTTTCTATTAATCCTTTGTTAACTTAATGTTGCATAGAAGTGCACAGTTTTGTCTTGATCTGTTGTTTCATTGGTGCTGTAACAAATAAGCTTTTTAATATAGGAGAAAATTTAAACCTCAGTTTGTGTGAATATGTTGAGGTTTATTTTACGTGTTACATTTCATTGTGTAGGGTGTACTTTGCAAGGCCATGAAGCATGTGGGTTTAATCACAAGAAATCTTTCTGTGAAACTAAAATCATGTGTTTCTCCGACTTATTTAGAGCTAGATTTTACAAGTCTATATCCTTTTCCTTTAGAAACAAAAGAAGCAGGTACAGATAATCGTAACATAGTTGACGATGGGAAGTCTCAAAAACTGACTCATGATGACATAAAGGCTTTGAAGGACAAGGGTATTAAAGGACAGGTAAAATTAAGGTTTTGGTATCATTTCTGTGCTGCCTTGATGATTATATTTTAGTTTATGAAGTAGGCTACTCTTCTTACCTGTGCATAGGTTTCAATGCTTTTTCTTTGTTCTTCTGGTCAAGTTGTGTTTTTTGGTTGTCCAAAAATGCTAAAGCTATTTTCAGAGAAAACTTCTTGTAAGGTTGGTGCCTTTGTCAATGGAGAGGAAATTTTTATAGCAACAGAAGTCATAAGAGATAGGAAATTTTTATAGCAACAGAAGTCATGACAGATAAAAAAAAAGCAGAGCTTGCATAATCACCATTGAGTTTTGTTTGAGATTCAAAACAGTATTTCTGTATTACAGACATACTAAAATTGTGCAATAATGAAACTATCAAAGGTGCAGGAAAGGATTATGGATGGACTACAAAGAATTAATAACACTTTGTACCATCAGTGTGCCTGTAGGCAGTACCCACCAAACACATGTGATGCTTGTGCTTTATCTGCATGTCGAAAGCTCAGAATATTCTCAAGAGATCAGTTCTGTTAAAAAAGGGATTGATATTTCATCCTGCACCTTGTCACAGAGCAAGTGAGGCCATCTGAAATGTGGATGAAGCATTGCAGCCAGTTCTGTTCTGCACATGTTGTCAAGCAAAATTCTCTCTCATCTTTGGTTTACCCTTTCTAGTAATAATAAGAAATTGCTCATGCTTACATCAAGTGCATCTCCTCCTTGCATCTTGCTGTTTGCTACTGCTCTTTGGAGCAGCTGTTCTGCTTTTGCCAGCTTAATTATGGATGGAGTTTAGAATGGTATTTCTTCTGTTTCCATGGTTGTGCTGCTAGCTGTGTTCTCTCTTGGAGGAGAATGTACTAATCAGTTTGATAGCTTTGATGTTTTCTATTTGTTCTCATTGTCCATGGCAGAAGGTCACTGTGACTTTTCTGTATGTCCTCAACGCGTCTGTGCCAGACATCTACAATCCTTTTATTTCAGATTATCAAAATATCCTACTTCATTAACTCTGGTTTCTGAACGGTAGCTGAATATTCATTTTAGGTTATATTAGCAGCAATAGATAATATTTCTCCATAAATGTCTGGTAAAATCTGAACTCCTGTTTGTGAATGACATGTCTTTGCATGCTCAATTTAGAGATGATTGTTATTTCTTATTTACTTGCTTTAACCCTGGCAGCAGCCAAGCCCCACACAGCTACTTGCTCACTCCCCCTGCAGTGGGATGAGGGAGAGGATCAGGAGGGTAAAAGCTAGAAAACTCATAGGTTGAGGTAAAGACAATTTAATAAGGAAAGCAAAAGCTGCACATGAAAGCAAAGCAAACCAAGGAATTCTCACTGCTTCCCGTGGGCAGGAGATGTTCAGCCACCTCCAGGAGAGCAGAGCCCATCACACATAAAAGTTACTTGGGAAGACAAACATCATGACTCCAAACATCCCCTCTTTCCTCCTGCTTTATATACTGAGCTTGATGTCATATGGTATGGAATATCCCTTTGGTCAGTTTGGGTCACCTGTCCCAGCTGTGTCTCCTCCCAGTCTCCCATGCACCCCCAACTTCCACACCAGCACAGCAGTACAAAAACCAGAAAAGGCCTTGGCTCTGTGTAAGCTCTGCTCAGCAACAACAAAACATCTCTGTATTATTAACTCTGTGTTCAGCACAAATCCTAAACACAACCCCATAATAGCCACTGTGAAGAAAATTTACTCTACCTGGCCAAAACCAGCACAAGTGTTAATGGGGCTTAATTTCCTATTACTTCACAAATCTCTCTCAGTTCCTGAGGGATTGGTGCTAAGATGAAGATGTGAAGTGGCATGTTCTCCAAGGGCATTGCATAGTGCTGCAGCTTCCTTCTGGCTTTTGCTTACCCTAGAGAAATACTCCCCATGTTCCTCACTGGAAATTTAACTGGAACAAAAAAGTCCCTCCAAAACAATATAATCAACCCAGATGCTACACTCAATTGTTTTTCCAAGAATAAAGCAAAAGAGAAAGATAGGCTCTTGCACATCGTTGATAATACGTGTTAAGTGTCTGAAGGAATAATGGCCTGAAAAGCAACAAGTGAGAAGTACTTGCACCACTGTAGTTTTTGAGCAGGTTCTTAAAGCACAATGAGAGACGCAGTGACCAAATTGAAAATCATTTTGTCATTCCTCCCCTCCCACCCTGCCCCCAGTTCCTGTGAGGCCAGGTTATACTATTGCTGTTCTATATGTTCCATAGAAACCTACAATTTTAGCAGTTAAACTGCTTTGATCACAGCAACCAAAATAGCACTCTGCAGCATCTGTTAGTGTGTTGCAGGCATGGAAACAAACCCTGAGCAATGAAAGCTTTTTTGGTTTGGTTTTGTTGGAGGTCTTAGTGATACCTCTAGCTGGAATCTGAAAGTATGAGGAAGAGTTGGATTGGCAAAGGGTGGAGATTAGAACAAGGAGACCAGGAAACCAGAACTGGAATTCTGGGAAAATCTGGGAGCTGGAGAAGGAAAAAGTCAGGGGAAGTATTGTTGGAAATAGTAAATGCTAAAGAGCTTGCCTAGCTGACAAAAATTCAATGGGGTAAGGGAGATGTCCAATGATTAGCCAGAGTAGAGGGGAAGAACTAGCAAAAGATGGGGGAAAAGGATACTCTCAGAGATGGAGGTGCTGAAATCAGACCAAGAGACCCAAAAAGGGAGTTGGATTAAACTAAATATTATGTATGACATCAGGTTCCTTGCCTGCGTAGCTTCACACAGGGTTTAGGGTACTGCCGTGCAATCCAGTTACTATGGGGAATGTTAGACTGACGAAATACATCAATTGTTCGTAATCACTGACAATAAACATAAGTATAGCTCATTCTAAATACAGGATAATTAAAGGTAACTAATCCCTTAGAGAAAGCAGGGTAGTCTTGTTCACAGTCAGAATATTTAGGTACTCAGACTTCGCAGTAAGGGTTGAAATAATGACTTGCTGATTCTGAAAGGAACAATCCCACTTTTCTTCATTTCTGGCCATACAAGTCTGCCCTCTCTCATGAGTTAGTTCTGGCACCTACCAGACTCCTTCTCCACAAAATACACCATTTTCAGGATAAGCCTTTTCAGTTTTAGCCTTTTTATGCTGGTATTATGTAGCTGAAGAACCCCTAGAGATAAAACTCTGTGATTAAATTCGTACCCATAGTCAGTGTAGTGCCCCACTTGTCATGTTGATTAACAGAAATTTACTTTGCCATTGATGTCAGTAGAAGGTAATGCCTCAACTGGAATAAAATATTTTCAATGTCTGTTTAAAACAAAACTATATATGAAATGAATGAGAAACAAATACTAGTTATAATAAAAATGAATTGTGTCTTCCAAGGAAATAGTTCAACAGTTAATAGAGAACAGTACGACATTCAGAGACAAAACAGAATTTGCTCAAGATAAATACATAAAGAAGAAGAAAAAAAAGTAAGTGAATTTTAGAACATGAAAAATGCTTAATAATTCTCCAAGTTGTTGAGATTAAAATAAGACTGTTACTGTGTGTTTCTTACAGATATGAGGCAGTTATTACAATTGTGAAACCATCCACTCGCATTCTTTCAACAATGTATTATGCAAGGGAACCTGGAAAAATTAAGTAAGTTTTTGTTTCTTTTTCAAATTATAACAGAGCAATACTTTAAACACCTGTATACCAGAGTGTACCTTTCTTCTCCTTTTGGTTTCTTTTATCTTTATCCTGTGATAATTAATGAGAAATAATGTAATACAGAAAATTAATCGACACGCTATTGCAGTAAATAGGAAAACTCTTTTGCATGCAGTGTCAGCTTTACCATTTCCCTACCACCACCTTTCTAATTACCTGTGTAGGAGAGGTTCTTGGCATTTTCAGAGGGCTCTTTTGCCTGGTTTTGGTTGGTGGCTCAGTAATCAAAATAACAAGCCGCTTGCCAGAAGCAGGAATTTTTGTCTTTAATGTGTTAAGGATTTAAAATCTGCAGTCAGAATTCTCCAGAATTTAAAAACATGTGGTTAAACGTGGGGGAGTCAGAGGGAGCGATGATGGCCAAGATCCTAACTCTGATTTTCATTTACCTAAACTAAACGGTCCATTCTCTGAGATGTTGTTTAAGATGGACTGATGCCTTGTTTTTAATGTAGTACTGATAGATCTAAGATGCTGAGATGTAAAATCCTCCAATATATGTTATTTAAGGCTTTTCAGACCTTTTTCCTTCTTCTACCATCTCTGTCACTTGGCTTTATTTTTTTATTTATATTAGTTGTAATTTCCTTAGCTATCACTGAGTCTCATCAGTGCACACACTGCAGTCAGCAGTGTTAGGTTTGGTCCTGGATTGCAGGAAAACAGGTAAAAATCACAGGGATACATTATTGGATCAGGAAGTACATTCATACCATTTACAAAACTGACATGATTGCAGGAAAACAGGTAAAAATCACAAGGGATACGTTATTGGATCAGGAAGTACATTCGTACCATTTACAAAACTGACACGTCAAGAGACCAAAATAAGTTTAAAAAATACTTTGTCTGACACAGCACGAGATGGCAACTTTGATATGTGCCCCCCACTTCATAATCCTACTTATGCTATTCCTTACTAATTTCTTGTTGGCTCCAGTTCTAGTTCTTCTTTATTGGCAGATGGTTAATCACAAGTTTCTGCATGGTGACTCCGAAGATCACTGATGCTGTTTGTGAAAATCTGCCTGTAATCCAACCATTTTTTTACAGGCTTCTGAGCTAACAGGCAGTATTTCTAGCTCTAAGAAAATGACTTTGTTATTTCTTATACCCCTCTGTCTTCTAGCCACTTACGGTATGACACCCTAGCTCAGATGCTGACATTAGGAAACATCCATGCTGGCAACAAGATGATTGTGGTGGAAACATGTGCTGGCCTTGTGCTGGGTGCAGTGATGGAGCGAATGGGGGGTAAGTCACACTGTAGCTTTAGTAATGTGCAGACTGAGGGCTTGCCTGAAACTCAAATACACATCTCTGTGATACTTTTAAAAGGCAGTACTTGAAAAAAATCTTTCTCAGTTTTTAAAATCTAGTTTTGCTTTCTCCAATATTCAAAGAGATACTTGTTTTTCCATTGAAGAAAGTTGCATTTTGCATATTTCGGTTGGATTTATTTTCCAGTATTTAAAATACAAAAAAATTTAATGTTGATATCCCTGTACTTAGATCTGTTTAGTTCCTATCTTTGGAATGACATTGTGGGCAGAAAAAGCTGTAAGGAACTTGTATACACATTCTTCCCAGACACCTGGAAGTTCAGGAAAGTGAATGGCAGGACACAGGAATAGTAACACCAGAATTCAGACAGCCTGCAGCACTGAAAATGTCATTCCTCGTCTGCTGTGTCAGAGATGCAACGTGTATTCTGCAAAACATATGTTCTCAAAGTATGTGACATTTTCTTGAGCATATTCTAGGAGAAGTTGGATGTGTCTTTCAAACTCAGTTAATTAGTTTCATCATTCAAAGACACTAGACAAAGGTGACAGTTCCATTCCAGAAGCCTAGAGAAGTAGGAAGCATGATGTGATGTTGTGCACACAGACTGTCTGTTGTCTGAGAAGCACACAGGCAGTTGTACTACAAATTGGTTTGTTTTCAGCAACTTTCATCCATAGGGATACTTTTTGAAGTCATTCGGATACAATTTCAGCATAACTATTGTAAAGTTCTTTTTAGTATGTTTAGACATCTGAGAGCTCTTCCTATAGAGCCTGTAAGTTGAAGAAACTCTTTGCCTATTAATGCTGTTTAAATTAGCTTTTGTTTTTTATCAAAACAATTCCGTAAATAAGTGACAAAACTTTGTCTTTTAAATATTAATTAAATTCACTTTTCTAACAATTTGTCACTATTTATATGTTCCTAGTTAACCCTAAATATGTGTTTAATACACCAATATTCTCTGAGTTGTCTTGTCCTTTTGATTTGCAGTAACCATTGCCCTTTCAATAAAGATTTTCTGACTTGAGGCATACTTCAGCAGTTTGTTAAATTTGATGGTCAGATTAAGAGCAGGCAATTTACTTCCCTGTTCTTAAAAGAACACTTCATTTAAGCATTTTAGGAATGTTGAAAATTAAGGCAGTTTAACAATTCTGGCTTTTCTGTGTGTTTTGATTCTTTTGCTCTCACAGGCTATGGATCCATTATTCAGATGTATCCAGGAGGAGGACCTGTTAGAGCTGCTACCAGTTGTTTTGGATTTCCAAAACCTTTTTTTGATAATCTTCATGAATTTCCTCTCAGCAAAGTGCATAGTCTCCTCTCTGGGACATTTTCTACAGAGACTCTGCCTTCAGACCCTGAAGATAACGCACTTGTGGAAGAAGAAAGCAATGGATTGACTGATGAGAAACAGACTTCCCTACAGGAAACAGAAGAGGAACCTACTACTGAAGCAGCTATGGAGATCAACCAAACAGAAGAGCAAGAAACAATGGACATTAATGCTGAAGATGTAGAATTTAAAGAGAACAAAGAAAAAAAAAATAAAGAAAATGTAAGAATATTTATTGTGGCTATTCAAGTTTTACAATGTCTATGAAGTTCTGATGTCTGAATCAGACATGCTGAAATACAGCTTATTCAGGTGTTAAAATGGAACTCTGGAAGTTGTCTTTTTGTCTTACATTAAGTCCTCTGAGTTGCAAAAAGTGAAGATTCAGTCCATGCAATAGTGATCTGATACATAATTACCAGTTAAAGTGCAAACCTTTTGTTTTGTTGTTCAAAGGTTCAGGAAAAGCAAATAAAACAATGGGAGAGAAGAAAAAAGCTAATAGAAACTGCTGCTTTGTTGAGAGAGAAGAATGCTGATGGGTGAGTTTGTTTGTATTTGTCAGTTTAAGAATGATGTCCCCCAATTTAGTGTTCCCAGTGAAATAGCCCAGACCACGTGCTCTGCTCACTCACTCTCCTCTGTGGAGAGTGTGGGGTGGAGCAGAGAATTGGAGGCACAAAAAGGTAAAGCTTTAGGTAAGGACTATTTACTAGAAACAGCATTGAAATAAGAAAACTAATAGTAACCACAACAATACTTATAAGAGCCGTACGAGACAGGCAAACAATTCACATGCGATTGCTCACCACATGGGTCCCAGTGCTGTCCCACCACACACCACAGCCAACCAGAAAAATCATCCCTTCCAGCCCCACTGCCCACTCTGCACATGGCATGAGGGGGGAAATAACCTTGGGGTCTTGGCCATGCCTCTCCTGGCTGCTGCAGAAAATTAAGTCTGCCCTGGCCAGAACCAGGACAGCAGTCAAAATGCTCTTCTGTTTGAAAGCATCTATAGAACATTGTTTCCCTTGAAACAAATAAAGATTTGTTTTAAAAATACTCTTTTTTAATATTTACAGCAAGCAGCCAAACCAAGTGGGTCTCGAGTCTTCTTTGCTTCTGATCTGGTTGAGATTTTTCTTCTGTTATTTAAATGGCTTGAAATTTCATGATCTAAAAGTCAACTGATTATGAGTAAATATTAAAGTGAAAATGAAAATTGATCCAAAGAAAAACAGAATCCATGTATAATCTAATAAAAAATGACTGCCAAAAAGTCACAGGATTCTAATTGGCAAAGTAGGGCCTGAAGTTTTAAGTTCATTAAAGTGGAACTAAGTTTGTTATTTTGGGGGTTTGATTGGTTGGTTTGGTTTTAGAAACTTGTTTCTTTTTACACAGGAAAAAACCCACATAACTTCATTTGACCTGCTTTGGCAAGGATCAGTTATTCCCAAGGAACAATTTAACATAAAGATTTAATATCATATGTGTTTTAAATTTATTATAAGTATATTCTTAGAAATTCTGGCCCTGGTTGTTGTGAATGCTGAAGTGATTCAAGTTAAGCAAGTAACATTAATTTAGTTTATTTAATAACATACTAATTTTCTCCTCCAAAGAATATTGTTTCACTGGGAATAAAGCTGGCTTGTTTGGATAAATTTTAGTGCACATTTATTGGTTATGTTTAAATGCCTTTGTATAATTTTTGGTTTTATTATTATGAAGTGATATGAAATTTTATTATTGGAACTTGTGGTCATTCATATTTTAGTATATCTCATGTAGCATATTAAAGTGGTAGAAGTAACCTTGTCTGTCAGGATGCAGAGACTGGTCATTCTGTGTTCTCTGAAGCAATACAGTGGTGAAGGAGGTTTGTAAAAAGCACTGTACATCTGTTTGGCAGCAGAGCAGCACCACTGCCTGTGGATGTGACCATTAAGCTGCTTAAGTAGTAGTAGTGTTTTGGTCTGGTTTTCCTGCTGTCCCTACTCCATAATTAATGGCTGTCTGGCAAGGTGAAAACTAATATTTGACTTGATATTTCCTGTAGTGTAAAATAGTATTTTCAGTTGTTGATTGAGTTCAAGGAAGCCTATTTAATATTTGTCTGTTTGTTTTCAATCACTTTTATACTTTTTTTGTCCTTTGTAATGCATGAAAGTTGTGACAGATTACATACCTGAAGGGATGAGTGATGTGCTTCAGGAAGCCTTCAGATTGATGGGGGAAAGAGAAGTTTATGGTGCCTGAGGGCACTAACCCAGATGGCTCAGTCATGATCATCTTTCTTTAGTCATCTGCCTTTTACTACAACCTTCCTTTACATGAAGAACCACAGGGTACTATAAAATTTGGCATGGAATAAAGAAATGCATCAAACTAAGGACTTGGTACCAGAGTAGAAGCAGGCAGGGAAAGTAAGGGGTTTATTTGGTTTTGCAGGTGGGAAGCAGGGAAAGGATAGGTAAAAAGCTATGTTGGAGGTGGGGAGATTTAGTGGCACACTGAAGAAAAACTGGTCACTAGGTAAAGATGGGCACCAACTTCAGGAGGATTAATTCTTGAGATCCTGAATTTAACAGGATTTACTACTTAATATAGAAGATATCACTTGAATAAAGTTACTATCTTCTGTGCTGCTATGTGGTAAAACATGGCTTGTACTAGATGTATTTGTTCCATTCCATTTATGAGAGCTGAAGTCTGACATAGCTCATTGCAGGAGGGGGGAAGGAAGATACCCATTGGGTATTTGGTATTTTTTAAAGAAGACTTTATAATAAAGATTGTGATATTGTGAGAGTGGAAATTGGTTTATAGAGACTCCATGTGTTCAGAATGAGGCCACTCCCCTCCCTCTACCCATCCCTGCCCTTCCTCTACCTCCTTCTGCTCCTCCCCTCACCCAATACATTAATTTTGAGACTGGCCAGACTACCTGCTGACAGCAATATGTGCTGCCATATGAAAGAACAGAATTTGATTTTTCAGTCTCTCATCTCTCACTCATCTTCCTGTTGTCTGGCAGAGCTCGTGGCAGTGTCAGAGCAGCACTCCAAGCCTTCAGAGGCACAGTATGGAGTATTTTCTTTACGGCCTGTTTGGTTAACTGCTGAGCACAATTTTTTTGAGGTTTGGATTTAAAGTAAATGGCTCACAAGGACGTGGCTGGTGAAAAAAACAAAATCAAAACAGCTGTAAAAGAATTGCCTCACCTCTTTATTATATTTAGAAAACTGAACAACCATTTTTACCTCCTTTTTGTAGACAAAACGGTGCATCCTGTGCTATACATTCCTCTGGAGAACAAGTGTTAGTTAATGGGTCATCTCATGTAGTATCCATATACTAGAGAAGTAGTTTAATTAGTGCATTCTTTCTGCACAGGCACAAGTTATTAACTAATTAATTCAACCATTTCTTGCAATCTAGTTTAGCAGTGGAGTTTTTTTTTAAATTAAAACTGGAGTTAGCTGTAGAGCATCTCAGCCATCTGTAGATCTATAATATTAAAAGGAGGATGGAGAATAAAATATGAAGCTTTTAAGTTGGCAAGTACATGATTTCTTTTTTAAAATATTTTTAGTCATGCCCATTCGGGGATTGTTTTCTTCAAATATTATTTTTATCTAAAAGTGTATTTAATGAAGACTACCCAGTCTAAAGAATCATGACTGATTCTAAGCAACAATTGGCAACCACGAATTTTAAATTGTATTTGGAAAACAGTCTTGGGACAAAGAAAGCAGCATGCAAATTCTTGGGTTGTAAGAATTACTGTGGAGTTCAACACAGGTGGAATAAGTCCTTTTGCAAATAATTTAATATTCTGCATTTTAGGGAACAAGTGTTTTATCCTCTTAATTATGCAAGTAGGAAATAATGATTTGTTTTTATATTTGGGGAGTAGTTAGAGACATGAAAACAAGCTGATGAGCAACTTTTAAGCTATAATTGATTGCTATGCTAAGTACAAGAAAATATCACTTAATGAATAGGTTTTGTAAGCAGAAAACTAATGTGCATGGAACTTCTTTTGCAGCTTAATTGTAGCCAGCAAGTTTCATCCCACACCCTTATTACTTTCTTTATTGGAATTTGTTGCTCCTTCAAGGCCTTTTGTTGTCTACTGCCAGTACAAAGAGGTAAATGAAGTATGTTACTTTAGCTGTTACAGTTCAAGTTTGATATTACTCTGCTGTATAACCTACTGTTTTGGTTTTTTTAAGCCATTGTTAGAATGTTACACAAAGCTGAGAGAAAGAGGTGGTGTAGTTAACCTAAAGCTGTCTGAAACCTGGCTACGAAACTACCAGGTAAGGATTACACTAAGTGGCTGTCAAAACCATGTGAATGCTGGGGAACAGAGCACTCCCTGAAAATATGGGGGTTTGGACTGAATGAAACCATGTACAAGCTCATGCATTTGTTTTAGCTAACCAAGAGTGGGGGGGTATTCTCAAGAGTTTTAATGCTTCATTGTTAAAATTTCAAATGGAAATACTTAATTTTCTTCTTACAAAACATTTCACTTAAACGTTTGCTGAAATACTTGTAGTAGCAAAGTGACAGGTTTAATAAATGTTCTGCTTTAGTGTAGCTAGCCTAAAGTCAGGGACAATCCATTGTCTTGTAAGAGAGATGTAGCAAAATATACAAGTGTTTACTCATTTCCAGTGGGTTTGACAGCTGAAAAAAATATGTAATGCTAATAATAGTGGTGACTTACAAAGTCGTCATCGTCAAATAACACATTTCCTGGAACTTCAAGTAATAAGAAGTTTCTGGTCTGGGAACTCAACAGTGAATACGAAAGGAGAAATGTCAGTTTGACTGACTTTCTTTGAGCAAGATGTTTGCAAGAAAATGAGTTGCTGCTTGCAGGAATGTGTCTGAGAAATGGCCCACCATCTCTGAAGAGGTGTATGTTACTGACCTTCTCCTTATCCAAGGGCTTCTGGAGACCATAAGGAATTATTATTTAGGGGTGACTTAATTCAAGGGTGGCCATGATTACTGATCAGGCAGCCAAATTGGGAGTGATCAGATGATTCATAGATACTCACGTGAGTTAGGCCTGGCAAGAGTTACTGTATCCAGGTGCAACAAGGAAGAAAACTGCAGTCTCCTGGACACAGGTAAATCAGTTTAGACCTGAGATGGCAGTCATAGCAAGGAAGAGGCATAACTGAAGAGAAACTCTGTGCAAAAAAGTGTAATATTGCTGAAAGCAATGGTGTATTGCTCTGTCTTACCTTAAGAGTAGCTGCTTAAGGGTGATAGTGACAGAACTGGAAATTACTGTATTACTTCATGCTGTTTTGTTAATTAGCTGTGGTTTCTTGCAAAGTACACTACGTCTGAGCACATAAATGGGACTTTCATGTACTGCAAACCTTGACTTAATTTTTGCTGGAAATGCCATGAAGAAGTAATCAGCAAGGCCTGTGTTCTAGGTATCAGTAGTACCTGTGTTCTTAGGTATTTCTATAACTGGATTCTCAGCTGCAGATATTTTGCCCTTTAAATATAAACACACTTTGCAAATGGCTGTTTGTTGTTGTGGCTGAAAAAAATATTACATCCTATACTGAAGCTGGAATTACTCAACGTGATGTGCACATATAGAGCGAGTTTTTACAGATGCTTCTTGTGGGGTGTTTTTTTGGGTGGTTGTCCTTGTTGGGTTTTTGTTGTGGTTTTTTGTTTTTGTTTTTTTTAAAGATCTTACCAGATCGAAGCCATCCAAAACTGACAATGAGTGGAGGTGGAGGGTACCTTCTCTCTGGCATCACTGTTGTCTTGGATCAGGGCAAATCTGATTCCAGTAATTTAGAAGCACTGAAGATGGACGAGCCTTCATCTAAAAGATGCAGAGTTCAAGACCTTCCTTGTTGACATTTGAAGAATAAAATTGTTTTTTAGATCTCAGGAGTCTTAATGTTAGCAAAATAACAAGTATGCTTTCTGTGCTCTTGACCTGTCATACATCTGTCAGAAAAAGCAGCAGAACAGCATGGGAGGGAGGATTGACTCAGTCCTTTGAACAGCATGGGAGGGAGGATTGACTCACTCCTTTGGGGGGGGGTTATATGATCTGAATGGGAAAAAAAAACTTTGGAAGCAAACATCACACTGAAATCACAGTAACTTCAAAAAGAAGAGATGAAGAGAAGATAAAGCATCAGCAAAAGCATTGTTTGTTTGTTGCCAAAATCGAATATGATATAGCTTTTTAAAAGGTCGAGTCCAAATCAACACATCTAACTTAGCTGTCTATTTTCCCAGAATTCATCTTCCCAGTGAATTCTCATCTACATAGTGATCTGCTCCCCCTCTGCACACAGAACTTGGCTGTGTTCAGAAATTTAAGAAACTAGAATGAACAGCAAAAATTGTAACTTTTTTATTGTTCCTTTGGGAAAAAAAAAAGAGAAAACTAATACTAGACGTGACCCCATGTTTTCCTGAAATAAATACAGAAGAGAAGATACATGTTCCTAAATTAAAATATTAGAGACATCTGCTTAAATATTAGTATTGTCTGTCATTTTCCCGAGTGTTGTTACGTGTTTTTAAGATAATACTATTTTGAAAACTGCTATATGTATATATATTTATTCTACTGTTTCTCTTTCAGGATGTCTAGCTTTTTTGTTAATTTTTTTAACTTTGCATTTACCATTTCAATTAAACTGCAGGGTGTTTTTGCTAATGAGATTTATCTTTTTCTTACTTTTCCCTCTTATTGGAAATAAAAAGGTCAAGCATAGGCTTTAGGAGAACACCTTTGCTGGCTGCACCCCATTGCACCTCTAGTGGGGAGCATTAGGCCCATGTGGGTGCTTGTAGGGCCAGCAGGACTCTGTTTCCATCCTTGAACTTACTCATCAGTTTCTGGACTGACTGAACAGAATCTGGAGCTTCGGGATCAAGTAATCAGACTTCATAAAGCTGTAAAATTCTGTATTTTGGTAAGAGTAATTTTCTTTTAGAACACCATTAGCTCAAAACAAAACAGAGGTTATATTTTGTGTAAAGAGGCAGTTAAAGATTTCTCCCAGTGGAACAGGTACAGTTTTTATCTGCCTCTGGTTTTTGTAAACTTCTCAGTGTTGTTTTTCTACTTTTATGGAAAATTTCTTCTCTTCCCTTTGCCTGCCAATGTGAAAAATCCATAAAGGGAGAGGATGTATGTTTCACCATTTCCTCTGTATTCCTGCAGCCCTCTGGATCTGAAAAAATGTGCTTTGCCCCTCTCACCTTTCCATACAGTGCAGGTGTTGCAGATCACATGTAGAGAATAGACGTGTTATGTGTGGTTCCAAGTGAGCTTTAAAAAAAATTCTGGATTTCTCAACTTCTGTGAAGAACTAGGAGGGAAAAGGGGGAGGGAAATAAATTTTCCCTTACTGTATGCCCACACATGCATACTGAAGGTAAACTGAGACTTTGAAAGCAGCCACATCCAGTAGGTGATGAAATTCTGAGATAACCTAGCTTAGAGCAATGGACAGGAGGCTGGAAGCCAGGGAAAAGCAACAAAAGGATTAAGTCAATGTAAGGCAGGAGACTAATAATGAAAAAAATTTTTTGTTTCAGTTTTCTTCCCTGTAAAGCAGGCATAGTTATTTCTCTGCCACTTCTGTTGAGCTGGTAGGTACACTGCTGTCATATCTGTACACTACAAAAGTGTGAAAACTTAGTAAAAGTGAAGCTACCAGCAAACGTTTTAAGCTGTACTTGTCATATATACTGTGACAATAAAAATAGTAACATAAGAAAAAGATGTTTATATAATGGAAAGATCAGTCTGAGAAATAAACAATATTGGAACACCTGAAAAGTTAACTTGGATCAAAGCCAAACAGGCTGCATTTCACCAGCGTTAAATACTCAGTTGAGACAGCCTCAATGCTGAATCCTGTTCCCCAGTTTTAAATGTGCCGCAATGCTTGTACCAATGAAAAACGGTAAAGAAGTAAGAACTAATTCATTATTGATGTTTCAGACTGATGGAACATATTCTGTATGTAATAGTTGAAGAGCATGTCTTGATGTAATGTTCCTGTTTTAATTGAAACACATGAATATGAAGACACTGGCAGAGAAGAAGGGATGCAAAAACCACATTTGGGTAAGCGATTAAATTGAACCTCAGATGTTTAGAGTAATTGGAACTAATTCTGGGATCATTTATTTTATTGCTTTGTAGTGTGGCAAGATCACCAAACAGGTCCTTCCACACCTCCCTCCCACATGTAAGGCTTAGCAGCATTTGTTACTCAGAATCCACCCTGCCCCGGCTCGCTGGCTGCCAAGGAACTTGTCCTGTGCAGGGTCAGCCCTGCTCAGTGCCACACATGGTGCTGAAACACCTGTCCCACCACTGGATGCCTGCAGGAGGCAGAAACAACATGTTAGCAAAGCCTGTTCCGTGCGTGACTGCATAGTCCAAGTAAGTGGCAAAAACAATCCACTACATAATGCTTTGATTCTGAAGCTCCACGTGCTTTCCAAATTAACCAGCATCCCTTTGGTGTCACAACCAGTTTGCCTCCTTAATGACTGATTTCCAGGACTAAATAATGCACGCTTATTTCCTGAGTTACTTGGAGCAAATTAATTGGCATTCCTTCTTACCTCTTGTGCTCATGCTAACTGGCAAAGAAAAGGCACAGATAGGCTTCTTGTAACTTCTAAAAAACATTGATGAACCACAAGTCAACGTTTTATACGCAATCTATCCCCTTGATACGGCTTTGAAATAACCCAGCCCATCAAATAAGCAAGGAGAAAGTTTGGTCCAAGATCAGTAGCTTTTATTTTTGCAAACTCACACAAATGTGTTTTTAAAGAACACGAACAGAAATTATTTCCAAGAGCATATTAAAAATATCTGCCCTCATGAAAGGTTATAATACTAAAATTCATGCCATTCAGATCTCAGTAGCATAACAGCAAGTTATAAATATTTTCAGCCAGGTTTTCCAGATCTTTTTCCTGTGAAAACAAAGAGCATTTTACACAGCAAATAATGTTGGCAAATGTTTTCCATGAAGATGAGAGAAAAGTCCATTTCTAAAACAGATTATTTCCTACTACTTACCAATCCCCGGGCAGACTGCTAGGCTGAGAGGTGTTAACACCAGTGCCCCAGGCACTGTGGAGATTTGTGCAGTTTCCTGCTTTTGACCAAACCGGGGCTGGGGAAGAACTCATTCTGTGAGCTGGTCCAAAGTACAGCCAAATCTTTTTATATTTAAAGCACCATTATCTAGTGGTGACCTCCTCCTGTGTCATACCTGCCCCCTGCAGTGTGCAGCCCCTTCCGCTCAGGTGAAGGTGAAGGAGGCTACAACCTTACAGTGGATCAGGATAATGGTGCAGGTTTTGTGCCCCTTTTGTGCGCTTTGGGTGCTTAACCCCCTCCCCACGGCAATAAAGCCGGTGAGGAAGGACACAGAAAGATTATCCTGGAGGCAGGGGACCAAAAGCTAGGAAAAGGACACAACACGGATTACAAACAAAGCTGTGGATGTTTTCTGTAGTAATTCATCATTACAAAGCAAAAGACGTTTCTGTAACTAAAAGTTCTAAATTTCACTCAGCCCAGTGAGTGCAATGTTTTTCAGTTGCCTTAGTTTTGACAGTGTCATGGTTTAGGAATGATGTTCCCCCATTTAGTGCTCTCACTGAAATGCCCAAGACCACGCGGCAGCTGCTGACTCCTTCCCCCTGCCCCTGCTGCAGGATGGAGAGGAGAACTAGAGGCAACAAAAGGCAAAAACCACGGGTCAAATTAAGAAAAGTTTACTAGAAACAGTAATTAAACAAGAAACACAAACAGGAACCACAACAATACTAAAAACAGAGTGTACAAACAGACGAACGATTCATAGGTGATTGCTCAGCACGCGAACTCGACACTGCTCTGGCAAAGTGGAAGGACACTACCCCCAACCCCACCCCCCAACATCGCAGTCTGACAGAGGCGTCTCGACGTGATGAGGGCCTGGCACTCTGGGGAGAGAAACCAGAAAGCCACGGTCAGTGGGAGAAGGCTGTTCCTGTCCACCCTCTCCCACCACCCGCGGTGCCCAGGCCGTGCTGCTGGGCATGCTCAGAGCTGCCCCAAACCTCCCAATGCATTGTTGGAGGGACTCGTGCCACCTCCTCCAGCCAACCCTGGGAGACCAACCTTCTCAGCAGCTGCAAGAGCAGGATGCTCGTGTGCACTGCCGCCTTCCCAACCCCGTTATCCCACCCTGCACTGAAGCCGGGTACCCACCTCGAGAGACCTGCTGCTGGAGGAGGAGCTGATCCTGGAGGACGTGCCTGCAGATCATGGCCGGGGAAGCACTGGTGATGGATCCACTCCACACACGGTCCCAGCACTTCCCGATCCCGTCCCCAGCACTTCCCGATCCCATACGAGCACCAGGTAGAATCTTCCTTTAAAAGAACAAATAACAAATGCATGAAAGTAAATCAGAAACCAAACCTAGAAAGAAGAAAAAGGGCAAACTGTTATTGCTGAATCACGGGCCTGGGAAGGCCTGACCGCTCCAGGCAAGGAATAAACCTGCCCACGGCTGGGGAAAATCCTGCCTTTCCCTTCCCCAGCCCCAGCCCTTCCTCCAGGGCCTGAAAAGCAAACGGCTTCAGAACTGCCCCTCTTGTCACCTCCAGGGGGGATTTTTTTGCCCGAAAGGCTCCCTCCTTCCCAGCCTGGGCCAGGCTGAGGGATGGAAGCTGTCAGCAAGGTCACGAGCTCCCACTGCACTACACCCACTCCCACCCCACCAGAAAGAAACTTGGCAGCCACTGAGGAATCATTCCCGTCCCCACAGTGAGGCAGGGAACCTCTGCTGCCTGGCCAGGCTGGGCCGCGCAATGCCTGGCGCCGAGGGCATCCCTGCACAACCCCCCACCGGGTGTGGACTCACCTTGATTCCATCTGGCTGCAGAGCGTGTCCTCGAGGAAGGTGCCCCAACCAAAGCCAATGGGCTTCGCCCCGACGGTGGACGGGTCGAGGACG